ATCAGAGGATGGCTTGAGCGAGAGCACGTTGGCTCCTGGAGGGCGGTGGGAGGCTGCCGGACAGCTAAACGGCTAATGGAGCAACCATCGCCGGGGAGAGCCAACGAGCTCCTGGCCATGAACAGACTAAGGCTGAAGGTGAGATTGGGTCTTCTCACGGGACACATCACACTGAGGAGCCATCTAAACAAACTTGGGCTTACAGAACAAAGTGACTGCCGCCTATGTGGTGAGGAGAGAGAGGACAGCGCCCACATTTTATGTCGGTGTCCTGTACTTACATGCAAAAGATATAGATCCTGGGGCTGCATGTTCATGGAGCCTGAGGATCTAAACGGAAAAAGGGTTAGCAGCTTGATTGACCTGGCGTCAGATACTAGGCTGGGTTTATTAGCGCAATCCTAAAAAAATAGCGGGAGGTCACAATGGAACTTCTAGATCTAGGTGACGCAAGGGCATTAAAGTGCCCACATGCTCCACTACTACTACTACTACTACTACTGCATCCAACCCATGTCGTGTAAGAGTGCGATGACTATCTTTCGTATGTTATAAATATTACAAATAAGTCTTTTTTTGCGAGATCTCACCAGGAGCAGTAACAAGCCCATTTCCTATACCCGCTTTGAAAACTTTGTATGTTGTGCTTTTATTCAAGCAGCTAGGATTTTGAAGAATAGTCTGCAATATAAAACTGATTCAATAATACGTTCGTTTCATTATTATCATTATGATATTCATATAAAGAAAGCGATTTCTTTATATAATGTATAATTAAAGAAGGTTGAAAGTTTGTTGCTAAAAATGATGATAATTTGCTATAAAAAATAATTTGTTACCAAAATAGAAAACTACACTAATGTATGATTATTTGTAACTCATTCATACACTTAGAAAAAGAAGTGGTTGTATTTAATAAGTCCTTGCTTGAACGAACAAAATTCATTCAAGCAAACATTTAGTAAACTAAGTAAATTATATCGTTGCTGCAACGAGTTATCTATTGACTCAATGATGGCGATTTGATTAGTAATATCAACGTAACTTATTCTTGCACTAACGCATAATTTTTCCAAAAAAGATTATATTTTTTTGAAAGCGGGTGATCGCCGATTTTTTCGAATCAACTGCTTTTTTCTCTTTATATATAAATAAATTAACAAATAAGTAATACAAGCATTGCATTCTTACTTTTATTTGGTCCGGTTCGGTTATATATATAATTAATTTACTGCCCAACCAAAATCGAAATGGAGACGGGTAAGTATCGATCAGCAAACATAAACTATCCAACAGTTCTGAAATTTTTTATACTTCAGAAACATATTACTGTTAAGCAATTGTCTACATTTAATGATATTATATTTTTCAACGAATAAACGTCAAAATATTTTATTCTGAAATAATATTGGTTTACTTTTTTGCGAAATCTTTAATTACTTTTTTCTAAAAGATCATACTTTAATGATTTGACAGGAAATTGAATTTGCCTAATAATTTGATTGTCAATTTAAACCCTACTATAATTTTATTAAATTTTACTTTTATCTTTCCAAATTTTTATTATCCATTAATAATGTTGACAAATATATAAACGACAATATTACCGTCAAAATTTTTCTGCAGGAAATAGTGGGCATTCCCAATAATTGGTTTCGTTTTTGGACCTAGTAGTGCATTTGCCGCTTGAATGAATCGTAAGCTTTTACGATTATTCGGGATTAAATAGATTATACCAACACATATTAAGATCAAAGCTGTGCTTGTGAGTATCATTATGCTGATAAATTGTTAGACGACGATGTAACCAGTGCTATATAATTCGGTTTTATGCGTTCAACAAATGATAACTCTGTAATGAGCAATTTTTGAACAAAAATATAAATCGCGTAAATTTGTTACGTTACCTATATTATTTTGATGTTCTAATAAAAAAAGGAGAAACAGAAATAGTAATACACGATACAAAATTAGAACGTAAAATGTCTTAAAGGCGTTTTAAGGACATCTTATATCCCGATTTTAGACATGTATCATATGGTTAATTACTCCACTACGTGATTATAAGTATAAAAAACAGTTTTCAATGCACTTAGATCATAATCAATACCTCATAAACAGAATTTCCGTCTTCACATTCCTCCAAAAAAGTCTGTATGAAATTTCTGGAGAGTCCAATGTATCGTTATATATGTTTCCACGAAGCAAGAAGCATAAGATTTTCCACTTTCGATACTACGTAGTATACTTCTAGTAACTGCTAAGCAACACTGTTGAAATGGAGAGATAAACTTCAAGAAATAGGAGCTGTATGTGTGTTATAAGGCATTCACAAAAGTTATTATTTTGCATACATTATAATAATAATTTACATAATAATGTAGTTTTTACTATCTCCAACTGCCAGTCATTATGACGCAACTGAAACTGTTAAAGTGTCATTACATGCAAGAATCAAACCCGTGCGCAACACCTTTACGCATAAATCTAAACCATTCATATTTCAGCGTCTTGACGCTATTACGGCAATGTTGCGTAATAGAATCTGTCTCTTTCTTTCTGCGAATATTTGTAACACAAGAAACATTTTTCTTTTGTTTTACTCATATTGCATTTGCAATTATTGATATTATTGCAATTAACTTCACCGTTTGTTTGTAATATTCGTCCCACGTAGTACAAAGCACTTGCAAAGCACTTATATAGCGCTTTTATAGCAGTAAGACACCTGCAAAAGCGTTTTCTGTGCGCTTTGCAGACGCTGCTATGCTACTTGGGGTTACTGATAATGCTACTGCATTTTAATAACCACAAATGATGCCGAGAATTAATAGACATTTTGTAATATCTTGCAACTTTTTCTGAATTGCTAATAAATATCTCGAAATTCAACTGACAGTTCAGTACGCATTAAATTAACCTTGCGTTTCAGCAACAAGTCACTATATTTTACTATGCATGTGATCAACACTTGACGCTCGACGCTCTTATGGAAAGGCACCTTTAATGTCATCAAACTATATCAGACTATATCAGACCGATAAAACTATATCAGACTTATGTCAGACCAGTTTATTAAGGACGACAAAGTCCAATAGGGATCGTACGACGAGTTTGAAGTGCGAAGATAATTACGTATAATGCAGAGAACTTTATATTTCTCCTATCATTACTGTTGATTTATTGTTGTTTACAGCAGATTTTAAATGTTTTGTCAATGTTTGCGTCATTGTTTGCGTTCAGCAAATACAACGATTGAGTAATTCGTCAATATAATTAGTAAGCATGTGCCGGATATCCGGCAACTATTCGGTATCCGGTCTATCCAGCCATCTTTTTACAATCCGGATAGCCGGTTAGCTGGATTTTATTAGTATCCGGCCGGATATTACTGGATATAACCGGATATTAATTTATTAATATAAGTTTGAAAGTTTGTGCCATTAATGCAGAATTCGAAATCCAAACCCGGGAAAAAGAATCAGATAAAAGCCAGAAATGGATTTTGTTAAGATCTGATCAGATATAATTAGAAATAATTCAGATATGATTTAGATCTGTCCATATGTAATCATATATAATCATATGTACAAATATATATGATTATATATGGACTGATCTGAATCATATCTGAATTATATCTGATCAGATCTTGACAAAATCCATATCTGGCTTTTATCTGAACTTTTTTTTCCCGGGAAGTTCTTTAAGAACAGACAAACTAATTATCTTTTATTAAGTCAACTCTGTAATATAAATCTTTCTGAAGATTTATTTTCAACAATGCTTAGCAATGTCGCTAGAGTAACCCGCTCTTTTAGACCAGCACCATACACGATGGGACGCACGATATCCAATGAGCATACAGTTTTACCGGAATACTTTAATTGGATATCGCTCGTCACATATCACGTGTTGTGTCGCACATCATGCTGGTCTGCAAGAGCCATAAGAAAAGAAACAAAAACTCTGTTGTAAGGGGTGAGGTCCAGTTGCACAGAGCCCGATTGGACACTGAGTGTAATGATTAGTTAGATTTAATTGGGTTTAATAATTATTAAATTAGATAAAGCAAAATACCGGTTGGTACTGTGCAACTGACAAGGAACATTCGCGAAGTGTGTGCCTCAGATTTCGATGAAACTTGACATATTTATAGAGTGGCCAAAAATAAGAAACCTAAATTTTTTTATCGGCATTGGCGCAGGTTTAAGGGGCGGAACTATCACTCAAAGTTTCATGCTCTTTTTACTATCTCTGTAACTATTGGAGATAGAAAAAAACTTTAGACAAAATTTATGCGGTTTTGGTGAATGTTCACTTTAGGGGAGTTACCTCTGATGACTTTGATTTTAGCATATGTTGTTAAGGTCATTGTCCTGAGTAACACGCAAAAGGTTTTAGCTGTCGCTCGTTATTTATTAAAAAGTTATTAACAAAAAAAGTTTTATAAAAAGACGTAATCTTGGTATACAATATACATTGAAATATGGTATACGTATATGCGCGGAGGAGAGGCTCCGCCCTTCCTCCTACAATCCCTCCGCAAAAAACCTAACCCTAACCTAACACATCTACTGAAACATGGCAAAAATATACAGTATGGTATGCATATACTGTTTGCGTATATACGTGTACAGTTTACTATATTTTAATAGATAGGTTAGGTTATTAGGGGAGGGAGTAGAGGGAGGGGCGGAGTTTTAAAACTTTTAGAACTTTTTTTGTTAAGAACTTTTTAACAAACAACGAGTGACTAAAACCTTCTGAAGATTATTCAGGAGGATGACCTCTATAAAATATGTCAAGATCAATATCATCGGAGGTGACTCTCCTAAAGTGAACATTTATCGCGGTTTTTTATAAAAAATAAAATAGCTAAAAAGTTTTTTTTTATCTCCAATAGTTACGGAGATAACAAAAAAGGCATGAAACTTTGAGGGATAGTTTCACCTCTTAAACCTGAGCCACTGCGGATAAAGAAAATATGGGTCTATTATTTTTGCCATTCTATAATTATGCCAAGTTTTATCGAAATCGGAGACACACACTTCGCGAATGTTTTTTGTGAATCTGTGCAATTGGAACAAACTCGTTGTAAGATACGTGATGTAAATATTCTGCAAAAACATCTTATGACTGATTTTAATGACCAAGTATGTATTAAGAGAACTAGAACTGTGTGAAATCTTTAAAAAAGCGATTTTTGGGTTTTTTTATAATCATTTAGTACAATTCTTTAAGAACATTTCGGCGTAAGAAGAACCTCGATATTTGCAAAATTGAGTTCAGGAGAGCGAAAAATGTGAGGCGGCGTGCACCTGGCGGAGCGCACGTGATCATGTAGTGTAAGATATGTAAATATTGTTTATTTAACAAACTGATATACAGTAATAACGTTTCTAAAACTTAGAAATAATAATATTGAAAAAATAATAAAGTCTATAGACGGGTGGAGATCACTGCTACAAATATAAGAGTAACAACAAAGGAGACGAGAACAGTCGGTCGGTCGGTAGTAGAAGTAGTCGGTCGTTTATTTTTCAAAATAGAATTTTCCGCTCGTTTTGCCACGATTACTCAAAGACGGCTAAAGATATCGACTTAATCATTTTTTTAAATTAATGATAAAGACGTACAGCATAGATTGAACCGAAGTTTGCTTATGAAATTTAATTTTTTAACATCGTTTTAACAATAAATAATTTGAATTTTTAGACATTTTTGGTTTTTTGTCCGTTATTTCTCTTATTTTCTAGATTTTTAGTCCCATTTCGGTTCAATCTATAAAGGAAAGTCTCACCTACAAAATGACGTTTAGCGCATTAAAAAATTCCAATTCGTTTCTCCGGAATCATGGCAAAACCACAAAAACGTTTCTTAATTTAACAATATCTCACTCAATTATTAATATTTTTTGAACTTCTACCGCTTATTGTATTTTTAAATCTATGTAAAAAACTAGAAAAAACAAACCTTTACTTGTACGTTTACTTGTTTGTCGACAATCGTCATTCGAATTTTACTCAATTTTTGGAAGATAAAACTGTTCTAGTCCCCTTAAATTATATGGCAAATATAGGTAAAACGTTATGTAATAACCAGGAGCAGTAGCAAGCCCATTTCCTTGCGCTGCTTTGAAAACTTTGTATATTGAGCTTTTATTCAAGCAGCTAGGATTTTGAAGAATAGACTGCAATACATAAAACCGATTCAATAATTTTGTTATTACTACTATGATATTCATGGTTTTCTTTATTAATATATAATTAAAAAATGCTAAAAGTTTGTTGCTAAGAATGATGATAATTTGCTATCAAAAATGATTTGTTACCAAAATAGAAAACAACACTAATGTATGATTATTTGTAACTCATTCATATACTTAGAAAAAGGAGTGGTTGTATTTAATAAGTCCTTGCTTGAACGAACAAAATTCATTCAAGCAAACATTTAGTAAACTAAGTAAATTATATCGTTGCTGCAACGAGTTATCTATTGACTCAATGATGGCGATTTAGTAATATCAACGTAACTTATTCTTGCACTAACGCATAATTTTTCCAAAAAAGACTACTATATTATAAATAAGACTACTAGTATATTTCTTTGAATGCGACGATTTTTGTAATCGACGATTTTTTCGAACCAACTGCTTTTTTCTCTAATATATATAAATAAATTAACAAATAAGTAATATAAGTATTGCATTCTTACTTTTATTTGATCTGGTTCGGTTATATATATAAATAATTTGCTGCCCAACCAAAATCGAAATGGAGACGGGTATGTATCGACCAGCAAACATACACTGTCCAAAAATTCTGAAATTGTTATACTTCAGAAATATATTACTGTTAAGTAATTGTCTATATTTAAGGATATTATATTTTTAAACAAATAAACATCAAACAATTTTATTCTAAAATAATATTGGTTTACTTTTTTAATAGACAAAGTCTTTAATTACTTCCTTCTAAGAGATTATCATACTTCAATGGTTTCATAGTAAATTAAATTTATTAATGATTTGAATGTCAATTTAAACCCTACTATAATTTTATTAAATTTTACTTTAATCTTTACAAGATTTTTATTATTCGCTTGTAATGTTGACAAATATATAAACGACAATGTTTCCGTCAAAATTTCTCTGGAGAAAGTAGTGGGCATTTCCAATAATTGGTTTTGTTTTTGGACGTGGTAGTGCATTTGCCGCTTGAATGAATCGTAACCGCTTATGATAATTCGGGATTAAGTAGATTATACCTACACATATTAAAATCAAACTTATGCTCGTGAGTATCATTATGCTGATAAATTGTTAGATGACTGTGTAACCAGTACGATATAATTCGGTTTTATGCGTTCAACAATCGATAACTCTGTAATGAGTAAATTTTGAACAAAATATAAATCGTCTCGCGTAAATTTGTTGCGTTACCTATATTATTTTGATGTTTTAAG